GGTAAGCTGACTGCTTTAAAAATCAATGTGCTTTCTTATCTTTTATTCCTTAAGCAGCCAGAGAGAAGTATCACATCTTTTATGCTCTCAGTGAATGCTGAACACTTGTCAAAGGATATTTCTGAAGACGGAACAAAATAATTTCAGTTCAAATTCCAAGGACTGTCAGAAACTTCAAAACCACGTGATTTATAATAAAAAAAAGTTATAAAACTCTATAAGGCTTGGGTTGCTATTCTTCTCTGAGAAAAGTTCTGAAGTAAATGGTGTTCTGACTTGATACTCCTTTGTGATGGGATTTTCCGACCCCTGGAGTTATCAACCCTTTGCTACCTGAACAATTCCATATCTGGTTGGCTGAGATTGATTTGTAGTCAAATATATTGGTGAAAACTCAGTGAAGCCACATTAAATTGAATGACACATTAACAGAAAATTTTTAAATTTATTATTAAAATTGTGTAAGTATTTACTTACATTTTGGTGCCCAAAAGCCTTAAAACTTAAATATAATGTGCTGCTTAATTTTCAGTATTGCTTTCAGCTATCTTTCAACTGTGTAGAGAATGACATTTGGGTATTGCACAGAGAACAGGATGCCCCAAGGGTGAATACCTGGATTTGATTCTCAGTTCTTGTCAGCGCTTAACTACTGAGTCTTACCTCTCTTACATTTAAAATAAAGAGTATACCATGCTCATGAAATTGCAGAAACCATCAAATGAGGCAATGAATGAGGAAGCACGAACATGATGTATACTTCACACAAGGAGCTTAATAAAAGCTTTGTTTAATCTAAATCTAATATAAACATTAAATTGTTCCTATTCTGATAAAGGGGCATTCTTTATCTTTTATCCCTTTTCCCTTATCAAAGCTTCTTGCTCTTTGTGTATCCTTATGTCCTGTTTTTCAATTTTTGCAAATTTGAGCTTGTTTAAGCAGAAATGAATTTATTAAGAGATATTAAGCAATTCACAGAATCAGGAAGGGTCAGAAAGCCAGGTTGGGAAGCTACACTGACTGTTCCACACAGACCCTAACCCACTCCCACTGGGCAGCCAGTACTACCAATGCCAGTGCAGGATGCGACCCCTGGACTCTTGTCACCACTGCCTGCGTGAAGTCCATGAGGGTTGAATTACTGCATCTGATTGGCAAAGCCTGCACCGAGGCTGCAAGAAAAATGGGAAAGTTGAGGTTCTAACTTCTACCTTGGACAACAGGAGACAAAAGGTGAGGAATTCTACAAACATAAAAAAGTTACTGACGGGTCCAATGTAGCCGAAAAGCATGATCATTCCACCTTGCTCTCTGCTTTTTTTATGATCCCCATCAAGCTGATCAAATTGTGTACCCAAGAGTTCCTAAAACAGAGAAGCTGAAGAAGTACATCTAATGGCAGAAATTTTAGGGCTAATAACAAACCACAAATCATGGATTCTCTCAATTGTCCCCATTTCTACTTTTCACTCTGTCTGGGTATGTGAATATGTGGAAGAGTATGATACTGTACAAGCATAGAACTGTGTTATGCTTAATATATACATTGATTGAGTGAGTGATTGATTAAACAGTTATTGAATTCCAGAACACCTACAAGGAATAAGAGGTATAAACACAAATATGAATAAGATCCGTGCCCTTCATTCTTGGAACTCACATCCATAAGAAATCTGTTGTATAAACTGCTAGCTGTCGTATAAACTGCTGCTAGCTCCTCATAAACACGAGAAGCACTTTAACAGAGAAGATGTAGGGCACAGTACTTATATGTAATGTTTAGAGACAGTGGTCTTAACACTTGTAGTAGGAAGCCCAAGATTAAAGGTATTGTCCAATAAGACATATCACAAACATATTGGTAAGTTTATTTTGTTGAGAGATTGGAGATATGTCAATAGACTGTTGTGCGTCGCTGATAAGTTAAGGGCTTACTGTGTACTTTCAATTTTTATTCATGTTAAAGTTTTTAGATCTTTCATTGCCTTCAAATCATCATTTTAAGCTTCGTTATGATTCAGACACTGTAAAATGAAATTTTAGGTCATAAAATGTCCTTGAAAATAGAAACTTCTTACTATGATACTAATGTTTTAGTTTCTAGTCTTAAAACATTATAGTTTTTCATTTACATTTCTTATGTATACTCATTTAATAACCAACTTTAAATTCAGTAATCACATTTCCCCCTAAGCTTTGATTAGAACAATTATAGTAAATGAAAATAAGAAAGTAATTTCTTTAAAAAGATTCATAAAGCATCCTTTTCAAGCCATAAAGTAGCTTTCCAAATAGTTTCTTCAGCATTAGGTCTATCAAAAAAAAATTATTCTGTTCTGCTTAAGACACACAGATTCAAAACACTTTCACTCTCTCCTAATCTTTTTTTCTGGGTCTAGTCTGGTACTATGGCTCCCAGCAGAAGACTTAGCACAAAAAATGTGCCCAATAAATGCTGTTGGGTGAGTGTCTCGCCCTTTTGCCTTAGACTAAAAAGGTAGAAGCATCAGCAGAAAGTCCTCTCAAAAACAGAAAGCATAACAGATAAAAGAAATAGAAAAGAAACAGATCATTCCATTTTTACATCTACCCCAATTTTTCTTTAGCCCTAAACTTTACCCTTGGCCAATGTTACTTTGATTTTACCTTAAAGAAGAATAATATACATCAGCCCACACCTAAGGGAAGTCTCTGTGAAGACTGCCACACCAAATTATGTTGTAAGATCAGCTGAATATTTTCTGTCAACTCACTGTAGTACAATTAACATCGAAGATATTATTCCCAGTGAGATAATTCCCTCACATTGCCATCCTGAATTTTGTGGGGTTTTTTTAAAGTTATGCTAATATAACATAAAGGGGGAAGGCTACAAACAATTTGATTAGCAGAATTTTTATAGCACCTTTTATCTGTTGTGGAAAACCCAAGCGAAAACACTAGCCATGTTTCATGAAGGCCCATGGATATACAGTTCTGTTAGGGTATGAGATAGTACCATTTTTTTTTACATGTGTGGATTCCTCTGATTCAGATTCTCCTCTCAAGAGGTAGAAAGGTTGAGGAATTAGTCTTTCACTGCTTCTTTTTTTTTTTTTAGTCTTTCACTGTTTCTTATATCTTTATTCTTTCATCCTCAAATTCCCCAAATATTCCCCCACACATGTACACACACACACACACACACACACACACACAGTGTCACAGTCACACACAAGTAGGAAGGAAGATAAGTTTTGTCACAGAAACAAACACCCAAATCACTGTGTTTTAGAGGAGACTGTTTCCTTCTCTCCCAAGTAAAAATCTAAACCTAAGCCATCGAGTTCTGCTTCACAAAGCAGTTTCCACCTCGTAACTCCATCTTGTGTGGGCTCCATTCCCAAGGGCATTACTCCAGCTGCAAGAGCTGCCGGTTAGTCAACAGTAAGGGCAAAGGCAGAAGGGTAGAGAAAGGGCAGAAAACAGTGTCTGCCCTTTAATGAAGCTTCCAGGAGCTTCCATACAGCATTTATACTTAGACCTCTTTGGCCTGAATCTAATCACATGACCACACCCAGCCACTGTGGGAACTCAGAAATGTCATTTTTATTTTCCATCGTGTGCTCCAACTGACACGTTTAGGTGTTACTACAGAGAACAGAGGGAGATTGAATATTGGCAAATAACTGGGGAGCTGCTGTGGGGTTCCTCCCTGCTATCCTTCCCATGATGTAATGTGTGGGATTTCATTCTCAGAAGTTTCTGGGCTGATTCCTTTCCTTCTCCACTCATCCAGCACTACCTTGCCCTCTACCTCTTAATCCACCAGGAACATTATTCTCCTGCTCAACGGAGAAAAGAGGGCAGCAATTAGTGAAGCACAAGTGACTTTTCCTGTTTAAGCTACTGGGTGCTATGAATTTGAATAGGAGGATCTGAGCCAAGTCTAATCCTCTGCTCTTGTGTTTGCTATCTAAACTGAGGCCACTGTCAGTTTTAATTGAACATAAAATCTGTTTGATCCTAAGCAGTTGAATAGGGTTTTCATTTGCTAGTCAGTGGATTTTGGATTTCCTCCCCAATGAAGCTAAACTTTATCGATAGTGAACAATATTATCTCATTCAAATGAAGGTCTGGAATATTTAATATTCTCTGGGACATACCCACCTCTGTGGGCAGGAGAATTGGTCATTTAAAGATAAACTTAAGCTGCAAACATAGCCCTGGTTATATAGGCAGTTGTTCTGACACTTCACAAAGCACTACGGACGTCTTTGAAGAACAGAACAGAGCATGAAGAGCCCAGCCAACTCCACACACTCCCATTCCACCTGTGTTTTATGCATGGGATTCTATATGAGATATTGTTTAAAGAAAAATTTTCATGACTTTCAAATATTTGACCTCATCGTTCCCAGCCAAATTTTATTCCGTACAGATTCGTTTCTCATGGACATCATAGCCCTGAACTTCCCAGGCCTTTCAGGAGCTAGTAAAAAATGGTGAAAAGAAAGGATATATGTGAGAACTTCTGCTAACTTGTCATCAGTGACGTATTTTTGAAAACTCACTGAACTTATTTAGAAAGATCACAATGATGCTTGCAAAATTTGCTCCACAAAACAGCTTCCGTGTCGGTATTCCATCTTGTGTGGGCTCCATTCCCAAGAGTGTTGCCCTAGCCACATTACCTGTGAGTTGACCAACTGGAAAGGTAGTAGCAGAAGGATAGGAAAGCGACAGGAAACAGAGCACCCGCCCTCCAGAGGTCGTGATTAGTGAGACTGTATTAGTAAGCATTTTTGTCTCCCTGGCAGTCACAACCTATGTGGATAATTGAAATTAATTGAATTCCTTTTGTTGGTTTTTTTTTTTTTTTTGGTCATTTAAATTCTGCTTTGTACTTCTGAAGACCTTTTTTATTGTGTGAATGTATCTGTTGCCCGAAATAACTGCATATTTCTATCTAGGTCAACGTACACAGAGGAAATGATGACTGACTGACAAGACCTGGTAAATTTGCATAACACAGCCGCACCACAACTTTATTGTTTGTTTCTACTGTCAGAATCTCTCAGCAGTCCCACTTCATATCTGTCAAATACTCCATGGGGACAAAAAAGAGCGAAAGCATTTGTAGTCTTTTTGTTGTTAATTATAAAAATCCAATCTTTTCTTTCTGGGAGATCAGCTACTTAAGTAAAACTCACATCTCTGAAAGAATAGTTAAGGGTGCTATTCTAAATAAAATATTCTAAGAATTTATTTCTCTCTGCATCTGTTTCTTCATTTTCCAACTCATATTTTTTCATGGCAACAAAATAGCGAATAAAAGTTTCCCCCAGAGCCTGTCTCAGGCATTGATCTTCCTCCAGGGCCACGAGAGCATCCTCCAGTTTCAAAGGGATCTCAGAAGATTTTGACTGATAGAAGTCCGTGCTGTCATCTGGACCAGCCAGGACACCATCACTGCTTTGAAGTCCATCCAAGCCTGCAGCAACAGTAGCAGCCAGCACCAGGTAAGGATTTGCAGTGGCCGAGCCCAGTTTGTTCTCTATCCGGGTGCCTTTCTCACCATGACACTTGATATTAAAAGCACAGCTGTTATCATTGTATCCCCATGTTGTAGGCACACTGTCCTTGAGGTCTTTACTCTCCTTGGAATAACGCTTTCGGCAGCTAACAGCAGGAGCCATCAAGCAGCTGAGAGCAGCGGAATGCTTCAAGAGTCCTGCCAACCATTTTTTCCCAGTGATCGTGAGCTCCTCAATCCCCGAATTGCTGCAGAACATGTTTTTCTTCCCATCGACATCCCAGAGACTGTGAGACAAAATTCCTGAATTGCAGAATCCGGTCTCAATGAAAAAGCTGGCGATGTAGTTATATTTCCTTGCCACCTCTTTGACGCCTGTTCTGAGGGTAAACGCATTATCAGCTGAACTGATGCCAAATTCAGGCAAAAAACAGATTTCCATCTGACCAGGTCTGGTAGAGGAGGAAAAGCTCTCAACATTGGCTCCTGTGTGATACAAACCATCAACGAGTTCCTGGATAAAAGGCTGATCATGATTATTTAGCAATGTTGAGGCAGGAAAAGATATGGTCTTTGAATTGATAATTTCGGGCACAGCAAAAATGCAAAAATCATAGATGAAGGCAGAGAGCAGGGAAAAGCCAGAATCCTGCAGCTGGCTCAGCTGCCTCTTGGCAATGTACCTTGGGGAAGTCAGAAGAGGCTCCCCAGTCACCGTGAAAGTGTCACATATCACTCTGGCGGTTCTCTCAGCCCATGGCAACACTCGAAAGGTTGAAAGCTCTGGCATCAGGACTATGTCACTATTAAAACATGTTGCTCTTATGTGATCCACTTCATCATCCTTAGGATTTGGTATCAATTCAAGATAACCTCGGGGCATGCAAACGCCATGGATCACTTTTTCCTAAAAAAATTAGACACAGTAGTCAGGTTTTGAAACTTGACAATAAACAAAAGGGTGGGGTCGGGGGAGACATTGCCGATGAGAAAAGAAAAAGCGTGTCTAACGTCTGTTGGTTAACATTAGCTTAATATCAAGTAAATTTCAAATATTTTAAAATAAACCCAAAGCTACTTTTATAAGCAACTGTTAACATTTTTAGCCTTCAAGGCTTTGTATGTTCTTGGATCTGAAAATAGCAGTTCTAAATAAAAAAATACAATGATAAATTGTCTTTATAGCAAATGGCAAAGGTAAAGCCTTATGAAATTATTCAAAATGATTATAACCTAGTCCTTTTAATTTTATGGAATAGTTGCTAATACTTCAGATAAGGTTTTGTTTTGGCTTATTCTATTGCAATCCACATAATTAACTGAGAATCCTCGGTTCTTCCCAGAGAGATGATTGTGATCAGTCGTAGGACACACTTGACAGTCATCCAAATATCAAAGGAGCCAGGTCTACTGACAACTGCACTTTTGTCTTCATTCACTTTTACAGCCCACTAAGAATGCCTGCCTCACAGCCCCACAGTCCCAGAAACTTTGCCCGTGAGCTAGAATTCCAAAAGGTCACAGTCTTCAAGTCAGCCATGAACTGGGTGTTACCAAATCTGACTTCTAGCTCCAGGTCTTTCACTAATTACTTGTGCAAAGTGAGGCAAATCACTGGAATATGTGCAATCAGCATCCACATCTGTGAAACACAAGTGTTAGACTAGATGATTGTTAAGGCACTTTCCAGCTATATACCTCCCAGGGTCAATAGATGTGGTCATTTATTTAACTTTTGCTATGTGCCAAACAGGAACATGATGAGGTTATAAAGTTGAGCAGACATAGAAAACAATTTCTAGAAATAGTGTCATTGCAATATAACAAGGCTTCATGTGTTGAAGGTTACATTGATGGTAGAGGAAAAGCCAACTATAAAGTCTGGTTCCCATAATATCAGTGCGCATCATGAGGTTAATAAAAATACTAACATTCCGTAAGCCAAATTCTTTCTTATATTACCTCCAATCCCACTGAGCATGGCTACCAAAGAGGGGCCGAAGCTAGCAGAGGCAATCCACTGGTCCCTCGTCTGCCTTTGACCTTAAGCCACTGACTCCTTCACTTTCCACCATCTATACACATATTTTCAGATGCCATTTGGCTTAGCTGATCCAAATCTGCTTTTGCCAGTCATAAAGTAGAGAAAGTAAAACACTATTCTGTTACTCAGTGCCTGCTTAATTTTTCAACTCCTTCAAGGACCTGTATCCACACACACATATTGTGGAATTTTAGACTAGTTTAATATGAAATCCTTTCATTTGAATTTTTACTGTAAGAAATAATATTATTTCCCTACCTTTCACTTTCTTCGTTTGAAAATCTGTTAGTTTTGTATGTGTCTAACTTAAGGAGTAATATATTTTACTCATGAGACTTCCAGGAGTTCCTCCAATTTAAATCTGTTTGTATTCACTTGATTATGAACAATAGAGAACAGCTTGTTACTATTTCATTCCACTAGGCCTTCACAAATTTAAAGAATAGTAAAAAGTCACACTATATTCTTCAAACGACTTAATCTGTATTTTTTTCAAGAAATTTTTTTTAACACTGTAATTTTCTTTATTATTTTTTGGACATTCTGAATTCAAACTACTCTTTCTTAGTAGTGGGAAATATATAAATATATACAAACATGTCTTGTTCATGACAACAAATTAAGTTACCTTATATAAATATAAAGCACTAGGACAACTTCACCCCCCAGTACAGATTGCTACGAATTCAATACGAATTCTTACAAAATAGCTTAAATCTCTGTGATAACTGAAATTTGGACCACAGCGAAGGCCACCAAAGATTAGTTATAAATTCTATCATGTACCATGTTCTGATTAGATCAAAGATAGAATCTACATTACCTGCTTATAATTTAAATAAAAACAAATCTTTTGATAGAACAGAGACAGTATAAGCTGGTTATAAGGTTTAATAAGCTAATGTTTGTGGGGTGACTAAGTTGGCTAAGCAATCAACTTTTGCTATCAGCTCAAGTCTTAATCTTGGTTGTGAGTTAAAGCCTCACATTAGACTCTGCATTGAACATGAAGCCTACTTAAAAAAATAAAAAATAAAAAAAGTCAGCTAATGTTTGTAAGTTATTTAGCACAGTGTCAGGCACATGATAAGTTTTCCTTTTATTATTTATTTATTTATTTATTTATTTATTTTTGAAAGACAGAGACACAGAGAGACAGAGACAGAGACAGAGGGTGAGTGCAGGAGGGATAGAATGAGAGGGAGACACAAAATTCAAAGCAGGCTCCAGGCTCTGAGCTGTCAGCACAGAGCCAGACATGGGGCTCAAACTCACAAACTATGAGATCATAAACTGAACCAAAGTTGGCCACTTAACCAACCGAGCCACCCAGGCGCCCTGATAATTTTCTCTAAAAAGTAGATATCATCATCATCAGAGGTTCCCCATTTGGTATTTTCCAATTACAGAACGGTCTTGTCCTCTATTCTTAGTAGGTGGCTTATTTTTTTAAAAATCTGTATTGTTTCATTTTAGTAAGAAAGAATGCTAAGCTTAAATAAAGAATAAAAAGAAATATAAAAGCTGAACTGGGGGGTGCCTGGCTGGCTCAGTTTGTAGCATGCAACTCTTGATCTAAGGGCTGTGAGTTTGAGCCCCACATTGGATGTAGAGATTACTTAAAAATAAAATATTTAAAAAAAAAATAGAAGGAGGAGGAGGAGAAGAATTGAAACTAGAAATGAAGAATCACAGGTGGACATCCCCGCTCAGCCTCTAATTGTCTGTATAATTTTAAGAAAGCATTCCATAAAACTTTTTTGGCCTTCACTTCACTCATTTATAAATGAAGAATATGGATTATATTATCTCTTATATCCTCCTTCATGGTCAAACAATAATTTTTAAATTGACATTTTCTTTTCCACAAATAAAAAAAGGTTTAAAAGTTACTTTAGAAAGATTGAAAGTACTTTTTACTAAGTGACAGGCAAATTATAATTATGGACTCTGCTCTTTGTTTAATGATTTCCCCATTTAAAATTGTATTTACAAATAAACACATGTTGTTTATATTATTTTGTCCAGCTGAACTTATTTTTTATATCTATTTTCAATAAAATTTCCAAAATAGATTATTTAATTTTAAATTACAAATACTCATGATGCAAATATTCACTATTATTTTTTTAATGTTTATTTATTTTTGAGAGAGAGACAGAACACAAGCAAGGCAGAGACAGAGAGCAAGTGAGACACAGAATCTGAAGCAGGCTCCAAGTTCTGAGCTGTCAGCACAGAGCCAGATACAGGGTTTGAACTCACAAACCGTGAGATCATGACCTAAGCTGAAGTTGAATGCTTAACTGATTGGGCCATCCAGATGCTTCTATTCACTATTATTTATATCTTTACAAGTTCCAAAATAAATTTAAAGTGTCTTGTTTAAAAATATATAGATACTATATGATCATTAAATAATAATAAAACAATAATTAGGTAATAAACTGGGAAAGTGAGTTTGTATTAGCAAACTAAGGCTAAAAGTAAATACAGCAATTGAGAGGAAGAATGATAAGTTATATTAAAATTCTTACAATGGACAAACCTTTTATCCATGTAAACTCCCAAGTAAAATTTGGTTCTAATATGCTGTACATTGAACAAGATAATGTAAAGTACTTTCAATAGTATTTTTTTTAAAAAGAAATGTAGATATTTTCTTTTTGTGTCAATTACAGAAATCCCCAGTGAATAGAGGGAGCATATTAAATTATATTTTCATAAAAGAGTATCTTTGAGGAACTTGTATGATACTCTAAATATGTAGCTTTGAGATGCCATTAGTGGAATAAATGATTAAAATTGGACAAAAACTGAATAGCAAACAGTTTTATATTGAGGTCTCTGGCAAGTGCCTGAAGTACCAGTTGTATTTTCTTATTGATTGAAAGAAACTCATATAAATTAGATTCTTGGGCCTATTCACAGTAAACTTGACATTTTGTTATCAAAATTAACCAACATGTATTCTTGCCTGAATGAAGGAAAAACAATATCTTCAGGCAGGTCTAAAGAATTTCTTAAGAGACAAATTGGGGGGGGGGTTGCTTCTTTTTTTCATTTTTGTTATTAAATATAGTTGACATACAAGGTTATATTAGTTTCATATGTACAGCATAGTGATTCAACAGTTGTATACATTATGCTGTGTTCACCAAGATAAGCGTAGTTACCATCTGTCACCATAAAACGTTATTACAATATTATTCGCTATATTCCCTTGGTGTACTTTTCATCCCCATGGCGTATTTATAACTGGAAGTTCTGTACCTTTTAATTACCTTCACCTATTTCACCCATTCCCTACCCCCTGCCGCCTGGCAACTCTCAGTTTGTTCTCTGTATTAATGAATCTGTTTCAGTTTGTTTGTTTGTTTGTTTGTTTGTTCATTTGTTTCATTTTTTTTTAGATTCCACATGTAAATGAAACCATATGGTATTTTTTTCTTCATCTGACTTATTTCACTTAGCATAGTACCCTCTAGGTTCCATTTATGTTGTCACAAGTGGCAAGATAGCATCCTTTTTGTGGCTGAAAAATATTCCATTGTATATGTATACCACATCTTTATTCATTTATCAATGGACACTTAGATTGCTTCCATTTCTTAGCTTTGTAAATAATGCTGCTATCAACATAGGGGTACATATGTCTTTCTGAATTGATGTTTTCATTTTTGGAGGGTAAATAGCCAGTAGTGGAATTACTGAATGGTATGGCATTTCTACTTTTAATATTTTAAGGAATCTGTGGTTTTCCACAGTGATTGCACCAATTTACATTCCCATCAACAGTGCACAAGGGCTCCCTTTTCTCCATATCCTTGCCAACACTTGTTATTTCTTTTTTCTTAACACTTGTTATTTCTTGTCTTTTTGATACCAGCCATTCTGACAGGTGTGATATTATATCTCCTTGTGGTTTTGACTTGCATTTCCCTGATGATGAGTGATGTTGAACAATTTTAAGAAACAAATTTGAACCTGCTGGAATTATTGTAAAAAAAAAAAGTGTTTTTGAGGATGCTCAGTTTTTCCCAACATAAAACAAATGATAAAATTACAATTTGATACTAAAATGATAAAAGTTAAGATATATCTTAAAAATAAACTTCATGGATGCTTAACTTTCATACATAATACTGACTGATGTCAACTGATGTCCCTTCCTTCTAAGAAATGTTTCAATGATGTGATAAATCAGTCATTAAAATAAATTATGACATAAACTGGAAAAAATCTCAGAAAGTCTCAAAATATATCCAAAAATAGAATATTTCTTAATATCACTAGTTTCAAGAACTTAATCATATTCTTTAAGTCATCCAACAGCAATAAGGTATTTTCTTATCAGAATTAGAAGCTGAAAGGGATATGCTTTTTATCTTAGCAAATTCTATTTAGTCTTTTTTTTTTCATTTGATATTTGCTCTTGGGTCTTCTGTTGCAATTTTCTCATGTCAAACAAAATATAATCTTCATAAGTGCAGTAAGAGAGAAAAGATAATTCTATAGAGGGAAATTATTCAAGGCAGAAAGACTAAAATTACCAGTATTAATTAGTTTTGTATTTCTATTGGGTAAAGGAATTGCTGTTTGGGTCCTGAAAGTATACGTTCAGCTCCTTAGGGAGCAATAATGTGTCTGGAGAGGAACAAGGAAGAAAAAAATAAATTTTTGGTTTTCAGCTTTAATTTCTGTACAGATTACAATAAAATAAGAAAGATTTATTAGGACCATTTGCTTGCTCATGGTCATGAAATTACATTTAATCATAACTCTACCTGTAAAACTTACTTGGAAAAAGTGTGCAGGGATACTCTTAGATCTGGACACACCATGGAGGTCTGTTGCTTCAAATCGCACAAACTGAAGGTGATTTTTGGCCATCTCTTGTTTAATGTGCTTCATTCTAGAGGACAGATGAGGTGTGGTTGGAATTTGAGTGCCATCCCTCATGTTATCTGTAAAATAGAGAGTGGCCCTAAGTCATTAGATCATGATGAACTGAAAAGCAAAAGGAAGCTACAGAGTAGTGACTTAGTCACCATGATCGTTAACAAAAGCATCATATACTCATGCTATTGGCTTAGATTGGAGATCTTACCTTTCTTGCCCTGCCTTTACCATATTCCCAAGAACATGGTCTCTCAGCGGCCATAGAAACTGTTTAGCACTTGGGGTTAGGCGAAAGTTACCTTTATTTGAATAAGCACAGAGCAGCATCAGTGGAAGTTTAGAATATATTTGCTTAACTGGACAGCTTAGGCACCACACAAGTCTGCATACAGATGACTATCATTGAAAGACCGAGCTTCTTGAACTAACCGGTAATGCCTAAATTAAAAGTTTTTGTATGATGAAAGGAAAATTGTTTGGTTTTTATTTATTTTCTGCGGGTTTACATTTTGAGGGTTTTTTGTTTGTTTGTTTGTTTCCCAAAAGGGCTTTATAATGGCATCTAAATCTAAGACATCTGTTTGTCTCTGTCAAATTTAAATTTTAAAATCAGTATAAGTGAGCAAACAAAAGGGTTTTTCAAGGATGAGAGTGTAAGAAGTGAAAAATCTAGACTGAGTATTCAATTTTAAAGCCAGAAACCTAACCCCAAATATGTGTGTGTGTGTGTGTGTGTGTGTGTGTGTGTGTGTGTGTGTGTGTAGGTATGTGTATATTTTCAAGGCATTTTAGATGGACTGCAAATTCTAAAACTTCAGAGCTAGAAGAAACTTTGGAGATAAAATCACCTAATTCAACTAACTTGACTGAGTCCCAGAGAGGTCAGTGAGGTAGTCCAAATCACACTCTCAGTCGTGTACCGAAATTGAAACTAGAAACCAGAACTTTTAACTCGCAGTGGGTGACTTGTTACCATAACATGAATGAATATATCTAAAGCATATAGAAGGACTGGGCACATAGTATACATCATACATGTTAGCTACTGTCCAGATTGCAAGGAGAGGTAGCCGACTGTGAGGATTCAACACACAGAGATGCCTATCTACCTCCCTCTGAATCCTGCCGGTGCCCGAGACTCTTTTTTATCCTCTCTATGCCTGGGCTCTCTCACTGACACAATATTACCCACTTCATAGGCTTGCTGTGACGATTAAACAAGTTATTTAACACTTCCTGGCAGACATTAAGCATCATATAAGTGCTTCTTAAGCACATAAAGTGAATAAAATTACTCTAACCATAGTAATGATACCATGATCATGTCTGAATCTGAATCCCCATCAATCTGTCACATCACTGATGCTGAGCAGCTATAATTTTAAAGTGATACCTGAATATCCTTTTTTGAAATATAATTGGCTTTAAAAATAGGCATAAAGATTGACAGTTTAAAAACACCGAATAAGTAGACTTTAAGTACTTGAAGCATGAGGAAAACAAATTACTGGTTCCACCTATACAAATATATTAGAGATAATGTCCTGTCACTGATACATTTGGCTACTCTGGGACTCCTGAGGCTTTATAACTACCTTCCATTTAACACAAACAATTAAGCTGTAGCAATTACAATGTTTCATGCTAAATTAGCAGTTGCTGTCTTCCCAACCTATCCTGAATTATTGAGTGTTCTGCCCAGGTTGAACAATTCTCCTTACAGAAAATAAAATTGATAGACATTTTAAAATATGGAAAATTTCTGGCACCTAGCTGGCTTAGTCAGTGAAGCGGCTGACTTCAGCTCAGGTCATGATCTCACCATTTGTGAGTTCAAGCCCTGCCTCGGGCTCTGAAATGACAGCTCGGAACCTGAAGCCTGCTTCACATTCTGTGTCTCTCTCTCCCCCTCCCCGCTCATGCTCTGTCTTTCGCTCTCAAAAAATGAATAAATGTTAAAAAATTATAAAAGACGGAAATTTTCAGGCAAGTAGCATTCTAAAACTAATAAGCAATTAATATACAAGCTATAAATATTTTAACAACATAAAAACATACTATTCATCTCCTATCAAAGAAGGAAGATCATTTTATTGGTTCATCAGTAATATGAACACAGGCAATCTTATTAGTTCTTTGCCTTGTCTGTATCTTCTAACATTTCTACAATAAATATGCATTCTTTTAAAATAAGAAAAGTATACATCCACTCAAAATAGGTTGTTTAGTTACCATGTATTACTTATTATTATTATTTATTAGACATACATCTAGGAAGAAGTCAGAAAAAGCCCTGCCCTCATACAGCTTATATTATTGAATGGGGGAACTATAGACAATACATATGCCATTGGATGCAAAGGTGGTATACTTTACCATGGTTAAAAGTGCTGAAATAAATAAATGAAACAATCACCTGGAGTATTAATTCTATGGGATCTGATCACAATATGACCAGGTCTAATCCCCGATTCATTCAAAGATCACCAAGTTTCACTGTGGCTGGACAATAATTAGATGTATTCGTCTGCTAGGGGTGAGAACATGATTGCCACAGACCAGGCGGCTTACGTACAAATGTATTTTCTTACAGTTCCAGAGGGTAGAAGTCTATAGTCAAAGTATAAATTAGAGTTGGTTTCTTCTGAGAGCCTCTCTCTTTGTTCGTAAATGTCTGTCTTCACATGATCTTCCCTCTGTTTGTGGGTGTTCTAATCTTCTCTTCTTACAAGAAGAGTAACATTGATTACTTCTTTTAAAACCCTATCTGTAAATGCGGTCACAATGTGAGGTACAAGGGGATAGGATTCCAACTACCTATGAATTTGGGGCAGACACAGTTCAGCCCCTAACAATATATCATCCCATTTCCATGTTCTCCAGAGTCCTTATCACTACCCACCATACTGTACAATCACATGTTTACTTTCTGTCCTTCCCCGCTTGCATGTCACTTCCAGGAGAACACAGGCTTAGCTTCATTTGCTGCTATATCCTCAGTACCTGCGGCAGTACAAGCATCTCACAGATGTGCAATGACGATTCCTTTAATCCTTTAATAAGGGGTGTGCGAATAAATCAGTTAATAAACCCGTGATTTGACCTCATCTAACTAAGAAGTAGAAATTGGCATCACATGTTTTGGTAATTTGGTATCTTTTTTTTTATTTAAATGTTTAATTCTTCCACCAAATATGAGAATTCTACCAATCTAATTTCATTTTCAAAGAATCAACTAATCTTATTGTATCATTGTCTGAATTTCTTTTCTTCAAATAAATCATACTTGTTAGTTACAATTAAACCTTTTGGTCAGACCTTCCCAGATGCACATGATGAATAGCAGGCAGATAATTGCTAGTTCGGGGACTCATTTGTTTTTCTTACAGTGTGGTTCCTGGGAGATGTTCTCCTTTCTCATCCCCTCGGAGGACTAATAAATTAAATCAATCTGCGTTTACAGAGGAAGTGAGTGTTTAGGGGGGAAAAATAAGAAAACACTAAAAAAATTAAAATTAAAATAAAACCTCAAAGCTCTATAGCAACTAAAAGGCCTCGGAGAAATGTTGTCCGTGTTCAGTGACGATGAGGACATATTTCAGTTACAGAGAACAAGCCGTGGTCATTTATAAAAGGCAAATTGAATAGGCATTTGAGCTTTCAGAAATGTCAATTTAAAAAGGGGAAAGAGCATCAAAGTGTGCACTCTGCAACACATTTAGCTTATGGGATGCCTGGGACGATGTGTCACACTTGGTTCCCAGGGCCTGCCCTCCTTCCTCCACATGGCTACTCTGACAGACACCCTCTCAGAGCAAATGTGACCCCACTCTCCAGATATAACATGTCAGCCCAGGTGACAGAATAACCAAGTACAAAGTAGGAACAAAAATAAAAACAATAAAAAAAAAGTCCAGAGGGGAAGTTTCTTTGAAAGGAAAATTTTTTTTAAGTCAGAGTGGTGGGGCACATGGGTGGCTCAGTTGGTTAAGAGGTTAAGCGTCGGATACTTGATCTCAGCTCATGTTATGACCTCATGGGTTCGAGAGTTCGAGCCCCGAGCATCAGGCTATATACACTGTCAGTGCAGAGTCTGCTTGGAATTTTCTCTCTCTCCCCCTCTCTCTCTGACCCTCTCGCTGCTTACGTATGCTCTCTCTCTCTCTCTCTCAAAATAAATAAATAAACTTAAAAAAAATTTTTTTTTTTAGAATCAGGGTGGTATCACAAAGAAGAGAACACCACGTTTAAATTTCTAACACTTATTGGGGGATGGATTTTTCATATATATCTTTAAATTCTGTAGTGGTGGTTTACTGGAAGCTATAAATATTTTGGTGCTCTGGGCCTGTAAAAAATTTAATTTAGCCCAGGGCCAAAGAGGGAACTCCTGAATTAACCAAACTGAGTCAATAATGATACCCATAATCCTAGTCATAGTCGCTTGATGCAAAGAGAGCTCATGACACAAATTTCTTCCACAGATTCTTTTGATTTAAGACTAAGAAATGGTAAATTTCATCTCAATTTTATGGCTGCGACTATATATAACAAGGGTCACAAACTGTTGATGGAAGAGCCAATGTGGCTAGCAGATGTTTTCTTACTAGTTGTCTTACAGTGTTTGGAAACATTTAAAATAGTTGACACTTAAAAATCTGAAAATTGCATACAAAAATCTTGAGTTCAAGCTTCTCCTGTAGAAACTAAATTTGGTACAACTGGGTGGTTATTTCTCCATAGCAACCAGTTGCTGGAGCTCTGAGGTGGCCTGAAATGAGACACGCATCCTCTCATCCATGGGTTGGCAAATGCTTTCTGTAAAAGGCCAAAGAGTAAATATTTGCAGCTTTGCAGGTCATACGGCATCTGCTGTTGCAACTTCTCAACTATGCCACTATAACACAAAAGAAGCCACAGACAATACATAAATCTTAGTTACAAAACATGGCCAGCAGGCTGAATTCATCCTGTGGGCCACAATGTGTCAACCTCTCCTCTAGTTTCTCACAGCCAGCATCACTGACTGTTTCTTTATACAAGCCCACGTTATTCATTTGTATTATTTTCCTGGGCCCTGTAGCATTTGTATCGATAGTTCCTGACGCTAGGCTGCCAGTGCTCACCTTCATTTCATGGAGAACTTCACAAAGCCAACACACAGAGAAATGCAGGGATGAGAAATGTCATGGTGGGCAGAGCTGCCCCACAAAGATGTTGACATCCTAAGTCCTGAAACCTACAGAATATGTTAAAATGCAGGCAATTAAGGCTATAAACCTTAAAATAGGGATATTGTCTTGGATTATCCAAGTGAGTTCTTAAAAGCAGAGAACTTTCTCCAGCTGTAAGGAGAAAAGAGAGATGTAGAAGGAGAATTTGAAGAGGTTGCAAACAAGAGAAGGATTTGACAGATTGTCTTTGTCCTGAGACACAAGACCAGACAGAGGCTTCCAGGAGGAAAGAGCCACTCCAGCTGACAGCCAGCAAGGAAACAGAAGACTCAGTCCTATAACCCCAAGGAAATGGATTCTCCCAACCATCTGAATGAACTCCCTACAGTCTCTGGATTAGAATCCAGATGGCCAACACCTTGACTTCAACCTTGCAAAATCTTTATAAGAGAAACCAGCTGAGACAGCCCTGACTTCTGGCATACAGAACTATAGGCTAATGACTTGTATTCTTTTAAGTTACTACGTTTGTGGTAGTAGTAGAGCACCACTTCAGAGTGTGCTTACGAGCACCACTATGGAACTCCAGTAAAGACTCTGGATACCAAGACGCAGGTAAGCTTCCCTGCTTGTGAATACACCATGCATATTGTCACACATCATTACCAAAAGGGTGGTTCTGTCCATGACTCTGTTGGGAGAAGAAAAGTGGAAGCACCATGCTTAGAACTTTCCTGGACTCTCCCTGCTGGGTCTCTTCCCTGGGCTGATTTTCATCTGTATTCTTTCACTGTAATAAACTATGGCCTTGAGTATAATAGCTTTCAGTGAGTTCTGTGTGTCCTTATAGCAAATTATCAAAATTAGGGTTAGTCTTGGGGAATTCTCAAAGTTGCAACTGGCATCAGTAGCCAGGGTAGACACCTAACTTCACACCTGGTCATATTTCTGCCTTTTGAAATCTAGTTTGTTCAACCCTCTCATCATGGATTCCCTTATGGAATAAATATTTCATTTTTTAAGGTTTATTCATTTTTCAGAGAGACAGAGCATGGGGGAAGGGGGGCAGAGAGAGAGGGAGACAGAGAATCTGAAGCAGGCTCCAGGCTCTGAGCTGTCAGCACAGAGTCCAACGTGAGACTCGAACTCACAGACTATGAGATCATTACATGAGCTGATGTGTGACGCTCAACAACTGAGCCACCCAGGGCCACCCAGATGCCCCAGTATTTCATTTTAACTAGTTTCTTACTGGATCCCAGAGATTTTTAACCTGTACACAGATAGACCAAAGTAGTTATATCACTATTGATAAGCCAGAAACTTTGAATAACAGAATTTCACTTTTAAAAAAGACTAGAAAGATCATCCATTGCAACCCTGCCATTTTCTAGATAAGCAGCCAAGTGGTTAAAGAAAACTATGAGGTCTTTTATAAATGATAGGTATGTAAATTCTTCGATGACTCCAAGACTAGCACTCCTCAATCAAGGCCACATTATCTCTAATTCAAATACATATTTGGGGTCAGAGGCTACAATCACATTTCAGTTTCCCAGTCCTTACCGGAATGGCTGGAGTTCGTGTTAAATTCACTACAAGGAGCACTGGCTGATGTTTTGACGTGGGAGGGTTTTATCCCTGTTGTCTGATTCTCGGAGTCCTTAGCGTCTTGTGGCAGATGAGAATCTGCAGAGCCAGTTCCCACAACTGGCTTGCTCATATCCCCCAACTTGTGGCACACCATTTGGCTTCTGATCCTTTCTTTAATAATAAAGAAAAATGTTAAAACACATACTACCTTGGTTTTCAACTGTCCTTTACCATGGTATGGAGAGGAATCTTAGAGAAAATAATTTATTCCTAGGCTGTGACATACCAAATGAGGGGCAATAGAAATGGTTTGCCTTGGTTGCAGGCCGTAAGGGGTGGTCTGCAGAAAATTTTAAAGCAATAATAAAATTGACAAACACTCTGCTTGATTTTTACTGTTACCATGCATCAGCCATTCCTGTGCCCCTACCTTGGAACACCGCTGCTCCTGGATTGTGTCTCTTATTGTTTATTATTACCTCTTAGTTTAGGACTGTTTCAGATCCATTGAGTTTAGCTGGAATTCCAGCATGTGGTATGACAACTTGTTCCACATGTTTATTGTGGCTTCCCAAACCTTGGTAATGATCTTTGTACTCAGTCTCAGAGCAGAAATGTGCTTCCCTGCTTATGCATATATTCTCTCTGTTGTCTTTTCTCTCCCCCCTCCCCCACTATCCACCTAATTATGCTCCCTTGACATTCTAAATATTTTGTTTGTTTTTTTATATGTTTACTTTATACCCTTATATTTGCTATCTTTGTGTTGCTTATGTAGAACTAAATTTTATTTCTTTGTTTTTGTTTCTCCCTTTGATGAAAAGAAAATGTTTCATGAAAAGGAGAACCAAATAGAGATCGCAATTGACATCATATTCCTGAGGGACCTAGTAGCTAAGATACCTTTTGAGTTGGATGTATCCATTTCTCCTACTTCAGTTGAAGATAGATGTTGTTTAGTGACTTTCTTTCTTGTTCTTCTTAATTTACTCATCCGGCTGGCTTCAGTCTCATTACCTTCATCTCTTGTGTCCTGTAATAATTAATAAACAAAAAGCCAAATAAGAGATCATGCATGCAACTAAATCTGGATGTCAAGAAAGCAAGATGATTGGATACCTAAGTTTCAAAGTGAACATAAGAAACTTTTATAATGAGGTAAATTTTGTCACTTCCACATGCTCTTGAATAATTCAAAATTAACAAGCCCCAATATTCTGCTTACAGGCTGGATATTCTGTACTCCTTTTATACCTGGTACAGAAATATAATTAAATAAATTGAGATCTCAGTCAACTAGTCGAGATTTTTATCTTTATTTTTTACTCTGGGATATTTTATATTACCCATTCCTAAACCCATTTTTATGTAAAAGTCCTCTTTTTATGATTTCTATCTTTTTTTGGATCTCTAACCTTTTGACCAGAAGCACAAGTACCCAAGGAATTAGATTCTATTCTTTCTTCTCTCTTACCCTCAGCCTTACTGCATCAATATTTACTTCACTTTAATAATAAATTAAATAAAAAATAACATAAAAAATGCAGTTGTATTGTAAATATTAGTTTATATGTGTAAAATAAGTGTTATACTCAAACAGTTTTATAGCTTGGGAAAATCTAAATTAAAAACATTTAAAATTTTTTTTTTAATGTTTTATTTATTTCTAGGAGAGAGAGAGACAGCATGAGCAGGGGAGAGTCAGAGAGAGAGGGGGAGTCACAGACTGAAACAGGCTTCAGGCTCTGAGCTGGCAGTCAGCACAGAGCCCAACGCGGGGCTCGAACCCACGAACCGCGAGATCATGACCTAAGCGAAAGTCGGACACTTAACCGACTAAGCCACCCAGGCGCCCCATAAATTAAAAACATTTTAAAACAAAATAACTTAACTTTTACAATCAAGTTCTAATTCTTGACAGAATTCCTCAATAGACCTGTCAAGGGTTATTCCCAGCACAGAGCTAGGCAGTGAAGCAGGGGCTGAGGGGGGAAGAGCTCGGGCATCTCTGCACCAACAGTGGGCAGAATCACTCCTGCAGTCCCAGGACACAAAAGCTAACACTGAAATAAATAAGATTTTTTTAAAAAGCCAAACATTAGTATTTTTTATGTTTTTTTTTTTTTTTTTTTACAAACTCCTCATTGTAGTTTGAAGGGAGAAAAAGTGGCAGGGTCAGGATCAAAATCTATAGTCTAAAATGTTTTGAGCTATTGTCTTTCTGAAGAGCAGATTCTGAAAGATTCCGTATCTGGGAGCAAGTTATAAATATACGTCCAGAGCAGTTGCTGGGGAAGAGCTGTAGCCATTTTTCAATACGACCAGTTCAGCCTCCAAAAGCTAAAAGAAGAAAGAAGAATTTAACTTGTTTGTGTTAATATGTAATTAGGACATATTGTTATTATTGTTACTATGTTTGAAAGGTGTATTTCATAGGATACAATCTTTTTTGTCATTTAAAAACATTTCACATCTCAGGGACGCCAGGGTGGCTCAGTCCATTGAACGTCAGATTTCAGTGGTTCATGAGTTCCCCCACATTGGGCTCCCTGCTGTCAGCGGGGAGCCTGCTTCTGATAACCTCTGTCCCTCCCCACTTGAGCTCTCTCAAAATTAAATCAACATTAAAATAAATAAATTAATTAATTACATTAAATAAAGTAAAGTAAAATAAAATAAAATAAATATAAAATTTCACATCTTAGAATATTGTGGTCCCTTTTACTCCAGATAATTTTATATTTGAATGATGTAATACTTATTGTGAGGTATACGACCTTATTTTTTTCTAGCAGTTTATAATTTTATTTAAATACTTTTCCAACACATTTCTGAAAGAATTCTGACAGTGATACCCTGCTTTATTGTACATATTCAACATTTCTAAAATTGCATTGTCTGAAATATACATCATATAATTGTACTTTTGGTAAATGTTTTTATAAATACTTGACTAGCTTTATTAAGAAGTCTCGTTTAGACAAAGAAATACTTGGCCAGGTAAGTAAATATAAAAGAAAATTGGGCAGACTAACATTTTTTTAGTCTGACCCATTAGGGATCCCCTGATATAGAGATAAAACAAATCAAATGAGATGGACTTTAAGATTTCCTTCAGCTTTACACAGTAACCTGCAAATGAATAACAATGTGCTAAAATCCAGCACTTTGTCAGGCACATTTCTCAGCATAACTCTCACGGTAATAGAATCTCCATTTTACAAAGGAGAAAAGTGAGACCCAGAATAACTTGCCCAAGGCCTCAAAAGGGAATGAGAGATGCAGTTTACAAACACCTCTTCTGATTGCCCAAATGCCATTAGCTTCCTAAATGCCATAGATGCCAGTTTAGAGAAAGTTCATTTGAGTAACACTCACCTGTGAAATTTTATGATTTTTAAATGTTGGCAATTAATTTAAAGTATAAGGTAGGAAGTAAAGAAGAAAAGAAAGTTTCTCACCTCCTACACAGCCAGGTCTCAAAAGGACTGGAATGCTGCTCAGAGTATGCAGGAATTCTCCCCACCCCCAGCACAGTGAGAGCATCAGGGACTGCCCATCTTTCCCCTAACACTGGAATCTAATGTGGTCCTGAGAGACGATGGTCAAAACATTTAACTGTTATTACAGCTAATAAAAAAATTTTAAAAATACTTATATGTCACATCTCTTCTAAATGCTTTGCATGTATTAATTCATTTCATCTCAAAACAATCCCTTGAGATAAATATATTATCAATTGGGTCAAAGAAATACTAATTAACTAGCTCAAAAATCACATTTCTCATAACTGGCAGAGCTAAGGTTTAATCCCAGACAATTGACTCAGGTTACAAATGCTTATTAATGCATCCTTAATGAACACCTTCTGAATACCCTTGCATCCAGACTGGGGTTCCAGAAGTCTGGCCAGGGTTCTAGAGGGCCCCTGCAGGGTGAGATGTTAACTCTTTAGTTGAGGGATCATGGGAAGTTCCAAAAGCCCAAGAGGAACAGTAGGCTAGCTACAGGAGTTAGGAGGGTTGGAGGAGCCGTAAGGGACTCTTGTCAGCATCTGTTCACCAACTAGTTTAGAAACTGTTCATGATTAATCAGACATTCAGCAATATGGTCCCAACTTACAGTTCTGGTTGCACCATTGTGTTAGACAAGCAGTGCCTGATATATGTAATAACTACTGAACAGATGTTAATCCTTATTATTATTACCTAGTCACCGTGCATTACTGGGGATGTCTGTTGGAAAGATACTTCATTCTAGGTTACTTCCTGGGCCCCTGGCTCTTGGAAGATGGCTCTCACTGAGTCAGGCACTAATCCCTTATCTGAAGAGCTCTAGATTCTGAACAAGAAACTAGAGGAATCTCTCAGAGAGGTGAGGGTATGCCAAGCAGTCTGAGAGTTCTCAAAGACAGTTCTGAGAATATATTCATGCCTGGACTCTATACTACTGCTATTACTAAACAGGCAGGATATTTTATAAATGGTCTCCAGACAGCCAGGAAAACTAGGCCAAGTTTAAACAGAAGGGACAGGTATGCTGAAGATAGAGAGAGGTGAGGTAAGTCAGGTGGGAAGAACTGCAAGCATAAGCATGGATACGCAATTTCGTTTTGATCACATGACATAAATATGCAAATCCAATTCATACTTAGTTTAGACAGTCTCAAAATTCCTCTACAACAGATTGATCCTGACTCGATTTGACATTCCCAACAGAGAGGCTTTTCCCACTTCAGAAATGTTTCTGCTGTCATTCTGTTAGAGGATTCCTTTGCCTCATACATGGGACTGGCCTCAAAGAATGCTTCACATCACAAGAATTTTCATATTCATGTTTCTCTCGTCACATTGTTTCTTTTGAAAGTTGTTTTATGGCTTAATATAAGTTTGTCATCTTGCATTTCAACTCAGTGGCTTGATCAAATTAACTAAAAGTTAAGGCCTAACCGAAAGGGATCCTGCCAAGCATTAAATTTAGACCCTGATTTGACCTAATAAGTTTCCCTTCAATGTATTAACCAGTGTTATTTAAATTCTAAATATCACTGATTTTATTCATTTACTTTCAATTTTCTCTAACAGCTGCTTTTTTAATATCAATACTTTAAAAATCATTGTTTTGACTCCTGTATACTGGCTATAGTCTGAGGTATAATCATTAATGCATTCACCAAGCACTCTGATTTCATCAACGATGGGGGTACAAGACGAAGAAAGCAAGCCAAGAAAATCTCATCAAGTTTTAACCTCTGTGAGAAATAACGGTAGGGGCACCTGGGTGGCTCAGTCGGTTAAGCGTCAAATTCTTGATTTCTGCTCAGGTCATGATCTCACAGTTCGTGGGCTGGAGCCCCAGGCTGGCTCTGTGCTGACGGTACAGAGCCTGCTTGGGATTCTGTCTCCCTCTCTCTCTCTGCCCCTCCTCTGCTTGCTCGCTCTCTCTCTGTCTCTCTCTCTCTCGCTCTCACTCTCGCTCTCTTTCTCTCTCTCTCAAAAATAAATAAATAAATGTTTTTTTAAAAATAAATAATGAGGGGCGCCTGGGTGGCTCAGTCGGTTAAGCGTCTGACTTCAGCTCAGGTCATGATCTTGCAGTTTGTGAGTTCAAGCCCCACATCAGTCTCTGTGCTGACAGCTCAGAGCCTGGAGCCTGTTTCAGATTCTGTGTCTCCCTCTCTCTCTCCCTGACCCTCCCCTGCTCACACTGTCTCTCTCTCTCTCAAAAATAAATAAAACATTAAAAAATTTAAAAAAAAGAAATGTATTTAAAAAATAAAAAAAAATAAAAGAATAAGTCAGGGGCGCCTGGATGGCTCAGTCTGTTAAGCGTCCGACTTTGGCTCAGGTCATGATCTCACAGTTCGTGGGTTCGAGCCCCGCGTTGGGCTCTGTGCTGACAGCTAGCTCAGAGCCTGGAGCCTGTCTTTAGATTCTGTGTCCCCCTTTCTCCCTGACCCTCCCCTGCTCACACTGTCTCTCTCTCTCTCAAAAATAAATAAAACATTAAAAAATTTAAAAAAAAGAAATGTAT